CTTACTCTCTCTTATGCATCGTCTCTTTCTTATTCAAACCCCACATACCTAAACTTACTCACACACAGAGACCTTGAGAACAATATGAGCACGATTTAGCAAACGCTCTAATCGCGTATACCCTCAAACCAGTTACCAAATAGATCATAAACTCAGAACATACAGATAAAATTTTCCAATGCAAGTATATGTGGTTATACTTTTTTCCATGAAGACAATGGTGGAGTCTCCGCGTGCTTGTGAGTAGCCGTGTTGTTGTCAGTATATCGTTCCCCCTTCACGAACTCCGGTCGGGCAATGGCTTCAAGCTCAGCCATCTCTTCTTGAGTGAGCTTCACAGATAGAGCTCCAATGTTCTGGTTGAGGTTTTCGATCTTGGAAGTTCCAGGAATCGGACAAACATCATCTCCTCGGTGGTGAACCCATGCTAGAGCTAGTTGTGCAGGAGTGCAGTTTTTCTTTGTCGCCATGGCCTGGACTTTCTCGTAGAGAATCTTGTTCTGCTCTAGATTCTCCTGTTGGAATCTTGGTAAAGTCTAAAAGAGAAGTAGCAACAAACAGAACATACTCAGATGAACATTCAAACAACGTAAGCTTATAATGTCAGTCTCGGAACAGATAACCGAATCAATCGTGTTACCTTTCGAAAGTCATCTTGGTCCAAATTCTCAACAAGCTTAGGTCCTGATGCCAAGAAGCCCCTTCCTAGAGGGCTATAAGCAACAATTCCAATTCCAAGTTCCCTAGAGAAATTAATTACAAGGTATGAATAAAACATGTAAAGAAAGAGGAAAATAATGGCTCGTTCTTATTTATTACAGACCTGCAGGTAGGAATGATTTCTTCTTCCACGTCTCTCGACCACAAGGACCATTCTATCTGCATAGCGGTTATCGGGTGAACCGCATGTGCTCTTCTGATAGTTGAAGCTGAAGCTTCAGACAAACCTATATACTTTATTTTACCTTCTTCAACTAGCTTCTTCAATTCTCCGATCTTTCAAAATAGATCGATTCACCCAAACCATTAGTTCAATAAAAAGAGCAAAACAAAAGATAAAAGCAATCAAAATCAGAACAAGAAAGTTTTCTCAATCATCAACCTTTAACTCAAATCAAGAAGCCATACCGTGACTTCGATGGGGACATTGATATCAGTTCGATGTTGGTAGTAAAGATCAATACAAGTAACACCAAGACGCCTTAAACTCGCCTCACAAGCTGACCTAACATACTCTGGATCTCCTCTCACACCAAATGTCCAATCTCCATGCATATGCACACCAGTGATCCCAAATTTCGTCGCTAATTCCACTTTCTCCCTCGACCCATCTTTCAAAGCCTACACACGAACACAAAAAGATCCACTACTTTATGATTGTTATCAACACTAAACCCTATATCATAGCCTCAAACCCTAGTGAACCAAATACAGAGCAGTGACTAATTTGTTACCTTGCCGAGCAGCAGCTCGTTTGTGCTGGGACCGTATATGTCGGAGGTATCGAGGAATGTAACGCCGGCATTAATGGCGTGACGCAGGAGAGCGACGGCGTTGGTCTCAGGAGTGGGAGCGCCGTAGAAGGCGGAGAGACCCATGCAACCAAGTCCCTGAGCCGAAACCTCAAAGCCTTGGCTCCCAAGCTTCATCCTCCGCACTCTGCAACCTTGGGCCATTGATGAATCAGTCTCTCCAAGATTAAGAAGAAGAAAATGGGTTTTTGAGGATTCAGTAGCAGATTCGAGTGGGATTTATAAGGGTGAAGTGGTCAAGTAAGAATTGCCACCTCACGCACTACTGTGCTGGTTCAGTGTTCATAGTCAAAAACCTCAAAGAGAAGAAAAGCAAATTGAAGTCGTTAAATTATTTTAAACCTATATTTTAATTGAGAAAACAGTATCCTTTTTACGTTTATGCCAAAATAAATACAACTTGTTAATAAACCATATAAAGCACAAATTTTTGTTGACTCGACCAAATTAGATTTAAAATTAGTCAATTTTAACAGTCGTTTAAAAAACACTAACCCCGTTTACTGTAACCGTTAAGTCTCAAAACAATATCGTTTGAAAAAATAAAAATGGTCATTTAAATACCAATTTATCTATTTTGCGGCAAAACAAATACTTCTTAATGAATTATAAAATACACAAACTTATGTTGACTTGGCCAAATTAGGTATAATATTAGTCAATTATAGATCGGAGACATGAAGAGACGAGACCATCCAAAGTTGTAGCGTGAGTAACATCATCACTTCGTTTGAGTAACATCATAACATCATCATCCTGAAGTTAGCCTCCGATTCTATCCCACAAAATGATGAGAACTTCTCAGCAGTCTCGGAGGAGACAAGTCGGTTGACTCAGGCCATAGGTCTCCATGAGAGTTCTCGTACTAACCCGTCAGATCTCTGAACTCAGGTTATCGCAACCTTCACGAGAGTTCTCGTGCTACCCGTTAGGTCTCCGAACTTAGGTGCTCGCAATCTCGTGCCCTCCTAGATATCCAGACTCAGGCTACGACCTTTAGAGATCTCGTGCCCTAACAAGTTGCTGGACTCAGGACCTCATAGGGTCTCGTCTCTCCATGTATTCGGATGCGGACTCCGGTCTACAGTTGACTAATTTTATACCTAATTTGGCCGAGTCAACATAAGTTTGTGTGTTTTATGACTCATTAAGAAGTTGGTATTTTTTTGGCGCAAACCGGAGAGTTTTGTATTTAAATGACCATTTTTCTAATCTCAAAACGACGTTTTTTTAGATTTAACGGTTATAGTAAACGGTGGCTAACGCTTTTTAAACGATTGTTAAAGTCGACTAATTTTATACCTAATTTGGCCGAGTCAACACAAGTTTGTGCTTTTTATGACTCATTAACAAGTTGGTATTAATTTTGGCCAAATTGGACAGTTCGGTATTAAAATGACCGTTTCTCTATTTTAATTGTGTGAGCTTTTTATGCTATCTATATATTATGATTTAGATTTTAAAATTTTTTTTTTATGGTGAATTACTAACATATTATTTTTTAGATGATGATTTTCGGTTCTTTTTTAGACCAAATTTTATTTCAAAAATTGGTAATAAACTATATTTGAATTATTCACTGACTAAAATAAATTTTAACTTTGATATCATATTTGATTTTAAGAGTTTTCAACTCAAAAATAATTAATAATTATAAATTGATATATTTTTTCATATATATTATTTGTGTCTTCTCAATTTTTTATATAAACTTTATATTATATTTTGTTCCAGACTTATATATTTTTAAGGAATATAATTTTTCTAAATTTTGACCCAAAAAAGAAAAACTCTAATCCTTATAACGTCACTGAGTAAAAAGAAAAAAAAAATTGATGTCATGGATGATTTCATACCAGCACTCATGCTTTGAATTCCCTCAATTGAAAATTTTTACTTCTCCAAGAAAAGTCTAAAAAGTATAGTAGTTGGAATAACTGTTAACGATATAAATTTCATGTTTCTTTTTTTCATATGGTAGTTGGAATGATTAATATTCAACAATTGGATACTACTAGGCAGGTATCCACGCCTTGTGCAGGACAACAATATCGGAAAAATAGTCTTTTAAAATTGTAAATTGAGATTTTACATTTTAAAAAAAAACTAATTACTTATTTCGAGTAACAAACACATAATTTGATATATTATACATTTAACATTCAATGTTAAATTATAAGAAACTAATATATATCTCTTTCATATAACATGCAAAAACCAATTAAGTGATTTAGATGATAATGAGATGCTACATAATAGAAAACCATCGTCTAATCTCGCCATTATCTCTTATTAGTTACCCTCCCAATTGAGAATATAGGTTACCTACTCTTGCAATTTCCCTCACTATTTTTTTAGATTTCACAACTACTGCGTCACATGACAAAAGTTTTTTTTTTATATCAAAAATATCATTTATAAACTCACTCTTAAGTCTTAAACCTACCAAAATATATCTAAGTAATTGTTTCGGAAATTAACTAAATCTTATCACTCACGGCTTCTTCCATAGAAATCTCGTCTCTGTTCCTTTAATCTCTTAAAATACGTTTTTCTCTTTCTTTCTCAAACCCTCTCTATGCCATACTTTTTCCAAAACCTAAGTTTTTTTTTATGCAAAAGCCCAATTTCTCATACAGCATTATTTTTTTTTATTTTCTCAACCGTAAGCTCCAAGCCATATTTTTTCTTTTGGATTATGGATAATAGATCAAAATTAATGACAACTGTTGCTTACAAATTTTGTTTTTACATCTCCTTATCCTTTCTATATGTTATA